CCAGGGCGCGCCTTCAAGGGCATCAACCATGTCGCATATCTGGCAGCTCAGGCATCATATGGCAGCTGGCGATTCTGGCGCCAATTGTGGCGTGGCGAGTGGCGGCAGCTTCGCGGCGGTGCCCCTTTGCCATGCCGCAGCGCTTGTGGGTCGAATGGCATCAACAGCGCATCTTCGACTTCCCTAGCGTCGGGTCTGGTGGCCCCTGGCGCCTATTGTGGCGCCTCGTTGTGTTTGGCATCCTTTGTGGTGCCTTGTTGCAAAGAAATCTCCAGTGAAGCTCCAGGGACTTGAGAGGATGCGTGCGGATATCGGCGCTCTTTGGCTCCCAACGGCCTCCTGTGGATCCCCGTGGCTCAAAGTGGCTTCCAACGGCTCCCAATAGGGGTTGGGTGTCCAGTGTCGCTCGTTGGACCAACCTGGCGGATCCTAGATGGGTCCACGGCCCCCTGTGGATGCCTGTGGGTCAAAGTGGGTTTCAGTGCCTCCTAAATTACCCACCTTGCCTTTTTTCTGCTCCGATCACATGGGAGGCAGGATTCCCGTATTGATAATTAGGTTTAGCTCAGCAGAGTCCCACAAGGGCTAGCAAAGTCTGTGGGGTGTTGTGTAATTGTCTCCTACTTTTGGGGGCCTTGAGCAAATGTGGCATTAGATTTGTTGCTCTGAACATTCTTGCCTGGTCATACGGCCCTCTGTTGCATGTTTTTCGCACTTTGTGGTGTTTTTTATGTGTGATTTTTCCTGCAATGGAGGGTTTACATTATTTTTTATTGCATGAAAAAGGGCCTCACACTCTTTTCCTTTGGACAAGGGTGCCAATTGTATGACTTGTTTTCTTTGAACTGTAGCAAATCTCCACTTCCCCCCATCAGCCCTTATGTCGAAGCAAGGATGACTCAGCAACATTACAGTACACTAGGAAAAAACAGGCCAGATGACACAGTCCTGACACGGTTTGCTCAATATCCAACTGTGTACTTTTGGGACCACATTTGCCGAAAGTACACAGTTGGATTTTGAGCAAACCGTGTCAGGACTGTGTCATCTGCCCTGTTTTTTACTAGTGGTAGGGGTACAACAGGGGTAAATATATAGCGCCCCCCCGTGACATGGCCAAAAATGGGGCGCTATTGGGGGCCGGGGGCGCAAAAAATGAATAATGCATTTAATTGTAGTTTTACAAAACAACACTCCCCATCATAAGAAGACACAGAATATACCCATTAGCCGGGTTATGGCCTGTTGCGATGCCAAATTGACCCATCACACGCGTGTACCATGTGCCATCGATGGCACAACACGTAACACGATATCGTGTTACAGTAGTGGAACACCGTCTTTGGGGCTTGCATTGATGTTACACGGTGCCCGTCAACTATATATAGTTGAGGCGCAACGACCACCATCCAAGCAAATTGTGGGCCACCGCCCACGCCCCCACCGTGAGGTGGCGCCGCAAAACACCGCCCTTGCGCACCTTACACCACCCACACACGCTGGCTAAGACGATCCTGCGCAGTGCCGCCAGTGCCCATTCCATGGCCAGCGCCGGTCAGCGGCCCAGCGCAAGACGTGCCGTCCGCCGACATGCCAAGTTCGCGGAAACGGTTGGCCGCCGCGGCGTCCGTTCACCGGACACCTCTCTTGGGTGTTTACAATAGTAGTTTGAGGTCCCACTGCGCAGCAAAGCTGCACAAAGTACTACAGAAATGGGGACAAGCAAAAAGAGGACGCTACTGGGGGCCGTGGGCGCTACTGGGGAGCGCCATATCGGGACCCCTACTGGAAACAATTTCCAGGTATTTTGAAAGAATAAAACAATCAAAGTTGTGCTGATTTTAGAGGATTCATTCTAAGGATTTCTTTCTAGATCAAATAATTGCAGGACCTTTAGGAACATGTCATGGGATCTTTGCCACTTATCAGTGGCGTTTTTGGGTACCTTCCCTCTTATGTCGATTTGCGGCAATCACAAAATCTCTTAGCGTCACAAGTCCCCCCCACCCACCCACCCCCCACACCACCCCCACCCCACCCCCACCCCCACCCCCCACCACCCCACCCACCCCACACACACAGCGTCAATTTGATGCTAAGCGTACCAAAATCGACATAGTGTCTTCCCTTATATGCCGCCCTGACGGTCACACGTCGACGGTGCACATTCATCACCGAGTTCAGCTCGATCGGGCGAGCGTCCATTTCTGTGCGCGGCTGGCCCATTCCCAAAAGAATCGCCATTTGGACCCATTTCTGCTGCGGCACGAGGCTCGGCGCCACGCATGTCGCTTGTGTAGCGCTCACGTTTTTGCCCAGCGCCAGCGGTCCGCGCGTCACATCTAATCGCCGCAGTGTGAGCCCATGGGCCAGACACGTCATGCGCAGCGCTGTACAAGATACGCAGTACACCAGGGGGGCATCCACGGACGGGAGGGGGGGGGGAAGCAGGGTGCTTGTTGCCGATTTTGACGATTGCCAGTTCCGCCAGGACGCCAGGGGCCCAATAGGAAACGAAGCCGTGGGAGGCAGCCGCAGCTGGCTGGCGGGGGCTGGGCACAAGCGCCGCACAGGCCCTTTGCGCAATGTCGACTCCGCATCCGGTAAGGGCCACGACAGAGTGCAAAAAGAATTCTTTTCAGGCCCATTACAGCGCGTCTAGCTGCTACTCCTCGGACACCCGAAGGCTGCATGTACTGTCCTTATGTACAGGGAGCTATATCTACCTTGCTTCATATACGATACCGAGATTCCTATGTACAAGTCTCGGTGTCGCAGTGCGTGATTTCATTCACATGTGTTGCGTTGCCGTTTTGGCAGGCGTTACACGGCTCACTCGTCGTTATCGCAGGTACAGTTTGGTGAGCTCTGGGAAGTACACAGCTCACTGGAGCGGCGACAATTCGTCAACCAGGGATGGCTTGCTATGGTCCATCGGCTCCGTCCTCAACTCGAATTTGTTCGGCATGCCGCTGGTGGGCGCAGACATTTGCGGATTCAATGGACAGACGACTGAGCGGTCTGACTGATCTCCTCATGAGGAGCTGTGCGCGAGGTAGCGGACCTGTTGTCACGGCATTTCATATGCACATACACTTGGTACAAAGTGATAGATTTGAGCTGGGGATGCCACACGAACTCAGGGCCACTGCCAATATTGGAGGATTGTCGCCTTTGGACATGCGAAATGAGAGGATTTTTGCACCGCCAGCTCCAAACTGAATATGCGCCCCATTTAATGTTATTCGATGTGTGATTCATACATCGGTGTGTGAAGGGGTCTCACTGGTCCTCCACGCGATGATCCCATCGCCTTGATACTGCACTGCAAAATACAGAGACTGTATTGTTATTCACAATTCAGAAATTCAAAGTTCCCAACGACAGTGCATTCATCCGCGCCGCACGTTCGTCTGGCCCCCAGGTGGATATCCCCAGGAGCGTTCTGCCCCTTCAGCCGCGCCCACTCCAGCCAATATCCTAAGGAGCTGCACCTCTGGGATGGCGTGCACTGGGAGAAAACGGCATGCTGGCGATGCCAGCTGCGATGCAGTTTTGACACAAAATGATGCCGTCACAGTGATTGCGATGGCACAAAAGCGGCTGCGATGGCATCAAATTGTGTCAAATGGCATCGCAATTGGCGTCACAAACAGGCTGTTTTCTACTGGTGGTGGCGGCCGCCGCCAGCAAGGCCCTAAAATGCGCGTGCGCCTCACGCCCTACCTCTACACGGCCTTCAGGAGGGCGGCCTCTGAAGTGGGCACAGTGGCCTCGCGGCTGTGGTGCGATTTCCCGGAGGACGCCAACACGCACAACAAGAGCAGGCAGTTCCTGCTGGGCAGCGGCCTGCTGGTCAGCCCGGGTCTGGAGGAGTGTTCGGACCACGCAAAGGCCTACATACCAGAGGGGACGTGGTATAACATACGGGACTATTCGGTGGTCCAAGGTGGGGAGGTCGGTCTGGTGGAAGGAGCCTTGGAGAGCCGTTGAAAAAGAGTGCGGCGGTGTGTCACGTTTTGAAATGCGCCGATGCATATGCCTTTAATGTGGGGGCAAGTTTCAACCGCATCTGCGTTCCAATTTGCGTCCATTCAACGTGCACGATTTAATTCAACTTTCACGGCAGCACCATTTCTTGTGTGCTGGAGCGAATGCCTGTAACGGACGCCATGCAGTCCTGTTGCTCAATCATGCTGTGAATTGGAACTGCCTATTCCAAAATTGCGATAGATATCGTCGATTCCACCATCTCCACCACCCGCAATACAGTGTCCACCTCGCTCTCGGCAAGGGTAACGAACGTATGGAACAAAATTCGTTTTCAACACATTCCAGTGCGTCTGAACGCCACTCGCGGACTCCCCAAGTCTCAATGTACTGTCCTTATGTACACAGGGCTGTATTTACGTTGCATTTACGTATTTTTATGCGTTTGTTTGCGCAGAGACGTAAAATACTGTTTTACGCATAAAAACGTGAATACGGTCAGTTTTAAAGGCGTAAAAACCAAGCCTGGAATGTAGTATTTAGATGTACCTCAACCATAGCATTTTTATTAGGATTTTCAAATGAGCTAAGCACCAACGCAAAAGTTCAATTCGGGGCCAGCTTGCGTTATCTTGTCTATATTTTGGGCCACATGCCGCCCAGCACGGTATTCTACAGTTGCATTTTATCGTGCGCGCTTGGTTATTGGAACACATTGTGCCATCCATCCTCAGTTTCAGCTGCATTTTCCACTTTTTGCAGCATTGTGACACCCACTCCCTCTCATGGCGTTGCCAGGGCCCCAGGGGCCAATTGACGTAATCGGGACGCAATCGTTGGAACCGGTGGGGACTAGTGCGGTACGCGTGGGGGGCACTGACTTATGCGCCAGTCTGCATTCTCGGACGTGCCCAATGATCGAGGGGCTGCAGTCCGCCACTCGGGAGACGCGGACCGGCGGTTCGTAGCCTGAGGGGCAGCGAGAGGCCGTGGGCGGGGGATCTGAGAGGATGGGCGAGGCGCTGGCGATCAGGCCGTTCAGCTGCCTGTGGTTTGAGGACGTCGAAGCAGAGGGCCACTTTTGCAAGCAGTACACCGCGAGGCGGTTCAGGTCTCTGGACCGCCCGTTCCAGAGGATCGACCTGGTGATCGGCTTGGCGTTCGTCGCGGGTGTGCTGAGGGTGCACGGGGCATCCTGGAGCGGCGGCTGGGCATTGTTCTTCCTTGCGCTCAACGCGGCCGTAGACTGGCTATGGTACATTTGGAAAGTGGACTCCAGGCCGGAGTTGCGAGCGCGGATGGCGCTCATGAAGCGCATGGCGGTCAATGTGCCCGTGGCGCTGCTGTCTACGCTGTGGTTTAAGGGGACCGTGGCGTCACCGAGATCGCTGGTCCGCTTCATGATTTTGACCACTGGGGTGCTCGGCCTGGCGTTTCCGACATTCGCGATACCGATGATGACCGCGAACCACCTGATGATCCAGGTGCCAACCGTGGCCTTCATGGCGCTATATGCGCCGCAGCGGGCGTGCTCTGAAGCCAGCGTGCCCCCCTCCAGCGCGCCGTACATTGTGGCCGCATGGCGGTGGCTGAATGCCATGTGCACAGGCGCGCTGAAAAACGTGCCGACGCCCGGCGTGCGCCAAAGCTGCCGGGACGTGGTGGTCATGTCGACGGTGGTGCTGGGGCTCTGCTTGCCTTCGTACGTCCTGTGGGCCTCGGAGTACAGGGCGCGAGTGGCGTTCAGCGGGGGCGTGCTGCCTCAGCTGACGTGGTGGATGGTGCTGGCGCACGGTTTGCTGTTTGTGACGGCAGTGTCTTGGCTGTGGGCGGTGCACATTGGCGCCTGGCAGTGACTCGAGGAGCAGGGCTGGATGGGTTGTACAGTTGTGCAACTCGTGTGCTGTGAGGGTCTGAACGAATGTTAGGATGTTCTCTTGCTTTCTCTTTCTTTTGTGATTCCAAAATGTTGCATGACAATGTACTGTCCAGCAGCCTTCCCCATCCTATTACAAGACAAGCAGGCCTTGTGCCACTTAGCAAGAGAGTTCAAGGCGATGTAAAGCCCCCAAAGTTCGAATCCAAGAGAATGCTCGGTCCCAGAAGAGATGAGCTGGCACTCCGGGGGAACCCTGGTAGATTGACAATCAAAGTAAGTCGAATTGGTCCCTGCTGTTCTCTGGGTTGTCTTGGATGTTTTCTGTGTCTTGTTGTGCACTTCTCAAACGTGGGGTGGGGGTGATCTTGTCAGTCATTCGTTCAATTGCATTTTTACATATTTTATGGACATGCTTTTGTCCCCCTTCTACCCTCTATACAGGTTAAGTGTAAGGATTGTACTCTGATGATCCTGTTATCAAAAACGCAGAAATTGTGAATAGCACTGTCTTGTGTTCTGTAACTGGGCAACGCTTTGCTTGACAACCAAACGACTAAGGGAACAGAACACATATTTGATGGGAATGTTGAAGAGAGTTTGACTCATCATCATGTTGTGATGATGGTTTGACGATTTGATTTCATCATCATCAGTTTGATTCACTTTGTTGCTGTGGGCGATGGAGCCAGCAGAACGAGACACTGCAATTGTTAAGACTTGGAGACAGGCTGTTCGATGGCCACTACGTGGCTGCCCAGTTGGGCTGACAAGCCACGGCCAGTTTATGTTATTTGATCAACGTACGTGCCCCCCCAGATCCCAATGCAAAAAGATCCTAGTGACACACTGCAACCTACTATCAATCCAGCTATGGAAGCATAAATCAACTGGAAATGGTAGGAACTGCTGACTGGGCCAGCAATCACACCTGTCACAGGCTGTGGCGTGGTGGTGCAACACCTCTTTCCTGCCTGCTCTGATTGCGCCTCACACGCTCAGAATTGCAAAGGAAACCCAATTAGCCCTTTACTCGGGCAATCTCACAAGCCAAATTGCCCAGCTGCAATGATTTTCCACGCGTTAAGTAGCATAACACTCACCAAACCGATCTACACACTCTTTGAATAAGCCTTGCTATTTTCACTGTCGATATTGGGCCGTAGACGAATAGATTGATGCAGATCAAAGTCAGCACTGCCAACTGCTTTCCAAAACCGAACCAGTTGGTTGGTATTCACAAACACAGCGAGCAATTCCGTCTTTGATATTGTTTCCAAGATTGTGGGCGCTGCCCAATGACATCAACATGTCATCGCCATACACCTTAACATCCAGTTTCTTGATGAGTCTGTGTGCTCCTTGCCCCTCAGTCGCCAACAACCTTTGCAGACAGCCTTTTCCTGTGATTGTTCCTGAGCATCCTGTGTGCTTCTTTGCAGTTCAGCCTTCACAGGAGCTGGAGGACACTCTGACGACACAATTTTTGTGACAGGAGTTTGGGCCCTAAGTTCCTTGTCAGCTCTTTGGGATTTCCTCAGCCTGGCTCAGGCCCTGGGAATGGTGATTCTGTTAGTTTTAGAAGAGTGACAACGAGGGGACTCGAGTTAAGTCACTCAACTGGATTGTAACAGGACCTTGGAACAATGTTTGTGAAGCTTGTTTGACCTCGGCCAACCTGGCAGCGCAATTACTGTTATGGCTGCGCTCGGACTCTGAGAATCACAGTTGGTGATCGGCTTTACAACCACGTTCTGCTCGTCAATCAGCGCAACAGTTGTCACAAGGACTCCCACTTCAACTTGTGGGTTAACGCTTCACTTACAATAACAACAATCTTTGACTTTGTTGACGATGTTACATCAGCAGCGAACAAACACTCAACAATTTCGCAATGCCTTGATGCTTCTGTCAGCTCCCACACGAATATGTTGCTATGTATTGCAACACCAGCTGCCAAGAATGGCGCAGCTCTGATCTGTTGTGTGATTACGTTAGTAAGAAGTCACAACCCAACACTCAGGTACTACTGGTGGGCTTTACTGGAGCCCTGTAGGCTTTCCAGTCTGTAACGTTATGATCTTTAGTTCTAAAAGTGTACTTGGGGCTCCACAGGCGTTCCCAATAGGGCACGGCTCAGTAGTTTTACCCCTCACGTAAAAGGATTTTTTTACCCAGAAACACACAAATACTCTAGAATCACACTTTAACCCTCCACGGGCTGCGACCTGGATTCGTTCTTTGACCCAAACAGTTATTACAATCTTTGTCAGTTTGGGCCTTGGGTCCGCCGTCCCCCTATTTATATCCAGTGGGCTTCCGCCCCCACTCCGAGTATTTCCCGAATATTCCCTCGAATCTTCCAGTTCTTCAACAGATTTTGCAATTTTCACATCCCTCATTTGAATCAACTCTTCACGGCCTGCTCAGATACAACGTGTCCATGAAATTCCTACGGATCGCGTCCTAGGGTCATCCGCCTGATGACAATGGCACAGCTTCACCTAGGTGCCTGGATTCCTCCAGATCAGCGTACATTCCCTTTTTCGGCATGTGCACGAATGTCCCGTCCCCATCCACGACTTCTGCGCGTGCCGTGCCGCTTCCCCCGCCAACGCTGAGGTAGTCCGTGACGTCATCCGCGTCAGAACCCGCGTCCGTCATTCCAACGTCGCGCCCCCCGTCAAGTCGCTCCGCGTCCGACCGGTCTGCCATCGCGCCGCGGCGACCGCGCCATCGGCAAGGTTGCTGACGGCCCGTCCTCGCTCGCGTCCAGGTCCAACAGCCCGTAAGCCTGGCCCTCGTCTATGACCGCTGCCCAGAGGACGGAGTTCTACCCGTTCGCGCGCTCCCACGGCGGGCCAGACGAATCGCTGCGCGTACGCGCAATATTGGAATATTGCAGCCAACGCCCCCGCTCCGTACCAATCCACGCAGACGCCGGTGGCCGCCAACCCCTGGATCCGACTGCCGAGCTGCGACTTGCCAGTGCCGCTGTGCGCAAATTAAACAATCACCAGGCCTGCGGAGGTAAGTGGCGAGTCCGATGCAAAACCGAGTGGCGTTGATGGTACACATTTACACCCTGAAAGTCGCATTGTGGAATCTTTTGAGGCCCTACGGGTCGAGTGTTGCCCGGCGGCCCCCCGCCTGCTTCTTGTCGTCACCGCCGTCAGAGCGCCGCAAACGCTTTCCTTCGACTGCTGCGCCAGGTTCGGTTGTGCATTCGACTGGATTGATTGGAAAGCGTGATCGCCGAGGTGTCCTGGTTGATCATGTCGCTCTCGAGCGGATTCACTTTCGCTGTCGGCGCCCCGTGCAGATTGCGGTGGCGTTTGTTCCACAGCAGTGTTTCGGCATTGCTGCATCCCTAAAGGCTTGTCTGGGACGGGCGGCCACCCAATTCGCCAAGATCGAGTCTGTGCAGAGGCCCCCACAACGGTCGCCTGTAGCGGGTGGCAGCCGCGCAAGGGAGGAACTGCGAGCCTGAACTTTGCTCATTTCAGGTCTGTCCAGACGCGAGAAGCCGCGGCTGCAGGACCTTCCGCCCCTTCTTTCGGCGGTCAAGGTGAGCAGGCACTACCACCACATGTGCGCCTCGACCACAACTGCAGCCGCTTCCGTTACTGTCCAAGCGCAGTTCCGCCTGAGGGTGCTGGGCAGTCTGTGGGGTCCAAATGCCAGCAATGACTGGCAGGCTCCGGATGTGCTCACAAAATTTTGCCCAGGCCACGGTACTGTACAGCAAGCTTCAAGCGGGGATGTTCAGCAAAAGCACCGGAGCTGGGCGCTCCGCTGTCGTGATTGGTTGCATGTCCAATCAAGACATCCGCTGTTCCCAATCACGTCGACGGCCAGCTGGCTGCGATTCGCTGGGGTACAGAACTTGCCCGCTGCCGACCTTCCCTGACAGTGTCCAGTCCCATCAAGATCAACGGGGACTGACGCAAGTTTTGTGGGCGCTGTAGGCGCCGTTCCCCACACATTTGTTCCCATGGCAGTGCGCGGAGCTCTTGAGCGCTGTCATGGAGGGTAGCGCAGGACAAACGCGCCTTCTGAGTCGAAAGGTGCGCGTCCTGTCAGGGCTTCACAAGCCCCTTTGGTCTGTGACTCGAGCGCATCGCTGCACAAGGCCATTCACTGGTAGAAGCGCGTTATCGCGATGCCAACTGCGACGCCATTTTCACATTAAGTGTTGTCATCACAGTGATTGGTAGGGGTCAGCGGGATTCGAGCTGCTGAAATATTATATCTTGGGGTCAGGGTAGAATATGGGATGCACGCTACACCAGTAGAAAATAGCCTGTTTGCGATGCCAATTGCGACGCCATTTGACGCAAACTGATGTCATCACAGCCATGTCTATGCCATCGCAGTCACTGTGACGGCACAAGTTCGTGTCGAAATGGCATCGCAATTGGCATCGCAAATATTCCATTTTCTACCAGTGCTGTATACACATTGCTGTGTTCCAGTTTCATGCGCGCTGCTGTTGGTCATGTTGGAAACGGAATGCCAGTAACCTGAACATTAGATATAATGCTCTGGAGGCGTTTCACCTAGACGCGAACTACCCGGGGCCTTCCCTAGGTTGCGATTCACTGCTGCGTCGCAAACGATCTGCTGTGCTGTGCAACAAACTTTTTTCGACCATGCGTCACGAGGTTTTTACATCTGGCGCAGGTCCTATAGTGCTTTGAGGGGTTTAACTGGCAACTCTTCCACGACTGCCAACTTGGTGGTTCAAATGAAGCGAGCTGCACAGCGCTGCTCCAAAAGTTCATTTGCGAAATGACGCATTACGTATGAGACATGGCACATCACGGGGATTTTCTGCATGCACTTGACCCGGCGGGCGCTCACAAAGCCATTGATGGAAGTCCCATTTTCTGTGTCCTAGAGCAAGTGCCGGATGGTACCAAAACCCGCATGACCGGAATTGGCAGTCAAGACTTGTTGATTGCCTTATGGCATTGTGTT